GTATACCGACAGGCCCACCAAAAACAGAAGCTCCTACTCAAGGATCTTCAAGCTCAACACACATACAACAATCAAAGTCCCGAAGGGAACACCAAGAGAAATCTCGAGCGCGTTCTACTCACTCAAGCTAGGACATGGATACTTCAACTCCTACCTTAAGAGATTCAACAAGAGAGACTGCAATCTATGTATATGCTACAAACCACAAACACCACAGCATCTACTTCTAGATTGCAAACAGTACAAAACACATCGAAATACACTCAAAGAAGCAATACCACACAGACCCATCACCCTCCCACTCCTCCTCCAAACAAAGACAGGCATCAAAGCTACTCTAGCCTTTATTGCAAGTACTAGGATTGGCACGAGAAAATGGCACCTTGGGCAAACCACCGAACAGACAGACACTGTATAAAACTACAAAAACAATATTTCCTTATCTAAAAGAGCCCGCTGCTACATCTCTTTCTATTCACCACACTGCTCTTTAGCACCCGCGCCAATGGAAGACTAGCTCTGAAATTGGAGTACGCAAAACACCACCCAAATTGTACAAGACCCATAGAAACTCCACAACGACCATCATACATAGAACGGCTTAGCCAAAGTCCTACATAGTCACCGACTGATACAGGACTCTAATGGAAATATAATAATATAATAATAATATGTCGTTGAAGATGTCCATTTGGAAGAATCGCTCGTTTGTGCCGGGTATGGTGATGTCGATGACGCTAAGGATCTTGTAGGGGTATTTGGAGTCGTATTGGAACTCTTCAGTCATGCCTTCGCCGATGAGACGGGGGAGTTGGTTGAACTTTGGCTCGGGCGGGACACGCTGCCACATCTCGTAGTCGTACTGTCCGTCGACCACCTTGCGCAGATGCTTTAGTACCGGCCCGCTCTTTTCGGGGTAGTCCAAGACGCCTTTGTACTTAGGGTTCTTGACAATAGTACACCAGTCCTTGAACTGTTTGGCGGAGATGATGACACGTGTGAAGGCGGCATGTTCGGGATTCTTTCCATCAGTCAACCTGTTCTTAGGCTCGTCGCGGTAATTCGCCCTCGCACGATCGATAATGCGCTCGGCCAGCTTTGCTCCGACATGCGCCCGCATCTCCAGGTACATGTTGGCTCCGGCCTCATCGCGGCGCGGCGCGTGTTGCATCTCCAGCCCGTCCTCGTTCAGGTGGCCGCTATGGAAGTCGTCAAGCTCCCGCATAAGTTCGGGATGATTGAGGTAGACGAATGGCTTTGCCTTGTGCAAGGCGAGGACCAGGAGTGCTTGATATTTGCAGACGAGGTACAGTTCCTCGTCGCTCAGACGATCTTCGCGTGCGGCATAGTCTTTGGCGAAGTCGTCGCCGTCACTCTTGTCTTTCTCGACCGCGCTATCGTGCGGCGTCGCCGGGTGCGATCCAATGGACGGCACATTTAACTTGAGAATACTGTTAGTAAGTGTCTCAACACTGGTGTTAGCAAGATTTTCGGTCACAGGCAAAGCGGGCGAGGTTGCGGAGGCCGATGTCGTGGTGGCGGAAGCGGCGGAAGTGACCTTAGACTTTCTCTTGCTGCGCGCCATGGTGTTGGATGTTGTAATTAAAGCTGTAATTTGGGCAGGGTATCTTCAAAAGATGTGCTCGTTCTGTTCAAGATGGGTGCAGAGGTGGGGTTTCGATGTGGCGATTGTGTGTGGGCAAAATGTCTTGGCGAGCAGGAACGGTCAGTGTGCAAACGTAAAGGAATGACGACACACTAGACCAGGAGAAGCTGTAGAAAGAGGAAACCGATTTTCAACTCTTGGTACTCTGAGTACTAAACTGAAATGGTATTCTTTGCGTGTATGGACATGCGTAGTGGGTGTGAAGGGAGCGTCACATGACGAGATACCTTAACATAATATACCAAATGGATCAGTTCCATTTAACGTCTAGCTTCAAAATGGGTGTAGAGAAAGAAAATCCAGACTACCGTAATACAGAAGCCTGAATAGTCTTTAGTCTTTTCCACAACCCAGCCCAGCTAGTGCTTCAAACAATTACAGCGATACCCCAACTTCGCGATCGCAGAACTGACCGCCAGCACTACAGCCCTGGCTGTATCTTACCATTTCCTCATTTTCGTCTATTCTCTTAGTGGTCACCCTCCGCAGTAGCGGCAGCACGATCGGCAGCTCGACCAGCTGCCTCAGCTGCAGCCATCTCCTCGTCCTTGGTCATACCCTTTAACTTGATGTAGAGCTTGAGGTGTGGTTGTTTTTCAGCCACTTCGCCGCGCTGCTTACCTTTGCCCTTAGGGTAGATTTTGGCCCTATCGTGACACCCTTGGGGTATATTGCAGCTTTCTTCGCGGTCATATGCCTCGCCGATCTCATCAGTAGCGTCATCTTCAAGGTCGTTGTTGCGAGGATCTTTTGCGATGTTCTCGTAAGACTCAACTGAGATGGACCTGTCGGCATCATCTACAACACTTTCGTCACCATCAGACCCATCATTCTTGCCACGCTTCCGCTTCTTCTCCCTTCTTGAAGATTCTTTCGCGGCAGCTTTAGCCTGCGCCTCATTCTTGAACTTGTCAACGTCGATGAATTGATCCGGAAACTGCACTCTACCAGGAACCTTCTCGCCAGCATTGACCATGGCCAAGACCCGCAGGTGTTCAACGTAAAGAAGCCCAAGAGGTTCCTTCGGCTTCTTGGACATCTCATGGCGCACCCAAGCGGCAATACTCTCTGCAGAACGACCATGGTCATCTGATTTTTTGACAACATCATGAATGTATTTCCTTTTTTGGTCAGCAACCGCTATACGCAGCTCGTCGATGCCGTTGTCCTTGCAGTACGCGTTTGCCCATTCGTAGACGGCAGCGCGCTCTTCTATGGACCAGGGCTCCCGCGTGGTAGTGGATTGGAGAGTGGCACGGTTACGCCACTGCGCAATCCTTTTGCGGTAGCTGACGCTCCAGGCTCGGTCGTTCAGATCCATGGTGTCGAGTAGATACGGAGGGAGGACGTGGTGGTTAATGTAAGCGTTTGTCTTCTTGTCGAAAACATAGAAGATTAGTGTTGGGGACCATTTGTTAACGCTGCAGATCCATTCCTGGCCGTTTTCGTCGGACTTTATCCAGACTCTGTCTTTGGGCAGCCTGGGGATGGAGACGTCCTTGGGATCTGGGAGTAAATATATACTTCCCGGTTTCTTGAGCTGCCAAATCTGCATGCACTCGTACTCGGTGATCTTCTCATTGATCTCAGGAATGATTTGATCCTGCCAGAATTGCTTTCCTTGGGGGGTCGTCACGCGGTAGCAGGCACGGATGCTCGAGGGGTCTCGCATTACGCGCTGAAACTCTACCCCATCTGGACGCAGCATCTGGTTGAATTCTGGTTCAGGAGATACGTGTCGCCAGTTCTTGAAGTCATACTGGATCACAGATATTGCGTTCAGAAGATCAATCAATCCGTTATACCTCTGTGGCTCGGTCCAGGGATCCATGTCAAGGTTGAAATCTTTGTCATCTCGGCGCCATATCTCAACGAGCTCTCCATAAGACTTCACTAGCTCAGGCGCAAGATAAATCTTCGAGAACATCTTGTGTTCTGGGTTGTTGCCGCCTTGGGCCTGATTCTTCCTCTCAGCGTTCCAATTCTCTTGAGACTGACGCGTGATGGTAACTGTCAAATTCGGAACGAGCTCTGCACAGAGATCAGCGTAGTGCTGACGTCGCATTGGTGTCTCGCTCTCCGGTAGCCATTGGGTAGCGTCGCCATCCGCCGTGATGTGGCCAGCTAGGAAGGCGTCGAGCTGTAATAGCTGTGTATCCATGCTGAGTTCGATTACAGGCCGCAATGAGTTACGTGACAGCGCCAGAAGAGATAGATATGTCAGGATGATATGATGCTTCTCGGATTCTGAAGGCGATTTGGAGTTTACCAGCGTGCCAAATTCTACAGAAGGCTCGGATTCTACAGCTGTCTTTGAGGATAGAGAAGAAGAGTAAACCCCACGGTCGTCGTCTCCTTCATTTCCGGGTCCAAAAAGACTCGCAGAACGAATCGTAACTCTCTTGCCTTTGAAATCAGTAAGTTAGTATCATCAATCTCCCCGCTGTCGCAAGGCTACTTACCAGGTGTAACGGGGGAAGAATTGTCGCCACCTCTCGCAACTCGACGACTCGAAGCGTGCGCAGAGGTTGTTGGCGTAGTTTCCTTGGCTGAAGTATCCGGTGTTAGCATTGCGCCAAATGTGATGATCTATAGGGATGTCTGTTACGTACTGCTCTTCAAGTCGTCTCTATTGCTTCCTGTAGCCGCCTTTTCGATCGGAGCAATCTGATTGTCTTTGTAATCCGCCATTGTGGGATTGCTACCAATGTTTGTTGCAGATCGTAGGTCGGAAAGGTGTCTGCTGAAAGAGCTCTTCGTAGTAGAAATTTCTGAAACGAAATTTATAGCTCGTGATGCGCGCCATCTGGCTTGGCAGAGTGAGTGAAAGAAGGAGCACGTGGTGCGGGGTGGCGATTTGTCGCATAGGACTGATGTCATAGCGTGTCAGAGTTGAAGGTGAAGGGTGTTCCGTGCAACAAACTCACATAGTACCTCGGAGTGTGTTCTCTCGCTCCATTGATTTATATACAGTTCTATCGAGCTTTAAATACTGTATCTCTGATCCGACAGAAGCCTTGGCTTGATCTCATCCAGAACGCAATTTTTCGGAGTCATGTTGTAGCGTACTTAGTATGCTGAAAAGACCGGTGACTGACCGTCTTCAGGATATTCGTAGGTAAACACAGAGGCACTTTCTGATATCGACCAGATTGTCGGGTTGAAGGAAAAATATCTCAATTACAGGCATAGTCTAATCAAGGTTGTCAGTAATCAATATCTCATCAATATTGTTGTTTGATTTGTTTGATTCGGAGCCAACCAACTAACCAACAGTTAGCCACTGTATTTCTGTCAATCAATCAACCAATCTTGAGAACAAAATGTTGATAGGATTGGTGTTGTTTGATAGTAAGCGAGGGAGGGGGATACCTAGGTGAGGCCTCTGGGATAGCTGCTCAACGACGAATTCTTAGTGTTGGATCTTGCTTACTAAGCCTACTCGCGTGTAAGTTTGTCAGATTGAGGCGAGGTTTTGCTCCATGATCGAGCCGATGGTGGTTGGGGAAGGACATGAGACCCCCAAACCAGGGCTAGCGCCGGGACTTAGCACTGCCAAGCCCGAGGCGAGGCCACCTCCCACAGACAGAGCCGTAGACAGAGACAGACAATACACTTGATCCCATCCATAAAAATCTGACAAAGTTATATGACCTAGGTTCCATCCCATCTCTCACTCACTCCAGGCTAGTACGTACGAGGCTTAGCGCCCACAACGCTAGCTGGCAGAGACATAGATCTCAATTCCTGTAGCACAATACACAACACGATTCACACATGTTCCATTCCTAGTGCTACTGACATCAGGCTTATAACATTTAACAACACCTTACTTTCTCGCGGCTCCGGCTTACTTTTAGCCTTATCCATGCCCTCTATACCA